ACACAATTCTCATTGAGATAGGGGATGAATACAGCTTTGATACACACAATTAGATCGAATTTTACACAGCCTGTTACAAGACATTAAGCTTATGTAAGGGCCTTTGCTTTCTTTGCCATCATTTCTTTCCCCAAAATGCATTAAGAGAAGGCATTTGTTTACTCTTGTTTTCATATGCCTAACACTACCCCAAGGAAATACCCGCTTTCCTCAGACTCATTCCTATGCTGCATATATTACCTCAAAATATTTTCTGTGGCGTGTGACAAGCTCTTCTCTTCCCCTTAATACTATTCTATACCAATTATATTTCATAGTATTACTTCTTTCTAATAACTAGGATAGCATTAATCAGCCTATAAAAGAAATCACCCCGCAGAAGAATGAAGTTGCTGTAGCCAAACAAATCATTACRTAGTTGTCACATTCTGTGACCTACAAATGGTGATGCCTCGTGTGCGGAGTGTTTCTCACATTGCACRTAGCAGGAGCACAACACAAAGGCGCTGGCCTTTCCAAGCAATTCAAAACCTGGCTTTAACAGCTAGCACCTTCAAAGCTACTCRCAAGCGTTTGAACAAAGCAAGTGGATTTCAGAAAGCATCAGGCAAAAATGTTTTGTGTTTAAAGATAGTATGTTCGTAATTCCACTCAGTTCTCCAATACTAAAAAAATGAAGAAATGTAGACGTTTCCGTGCAACAAGGAGTTTTATCCCCCAGTTCTTGGCAGATGTAACTCTGGGAACACGGTCTTTGTGTTTATTCAGCRCAAGGCTTTGAGGTGAGCCTAATCTCCACCTTTCATATCTTTTAAGAACTCTCAATACATCAATATTAACAYGACAAAAATCAAGACAAACTCCCCTCCATTGCTCGGTATTGACCACTGCAGCAAACACTATTGTCCCTTCTTTCTTTTATTAAAAATAAAGTGATCAGTTGAGAATTTATGATTCCACTTTCTAAATACTCTGGAGTCCTACTGAAGCCATCTACTTATAAAATTTCACCATACGAGAAAGAAAAGTTTCTGCAAACCAACACTCCATGAAGATATCTGCTACTGCTTCACACTCCAAAAGCAAATTCCTCAACTGGCGCGAAGAGCAAAGCATCAAACATCAGAGCTTCCAGCCCCAAACTCCTCAGGCTCTGCCTCACTCTGCTCTCCTTCCCCCAGATTCCTCACACAGATTTAGGGAGTAAGGCACAGGAAACTAAACTGCTGCAGGAAAACTCAAGCTGAGGACAGGAGACTATTAATCAACAGGAAACCAGCTAGTAACAAGAGGCAAATGAAAGGGCAAGGCTGGCTCATGGCAGAGGGAGGATGAATGGAAGGATGAAGCAAACACTTCTTTTGCAAAAAGGAAGAATTAGAACGATGACAAGTTCAAAATTTTTGTCTCTTCAAGTAGTTATGAGGATTTTTACTCCACCTCCTTGTCACTGCAGAGCCAGCATYAGCACAGTCTACACAACTACTCCAGTGCCAGTGAGATGCTCCAAAACCCCTTGCAGCACAACCAGATGAAGCCTGGGCAGTCAGCTCTGCAGAAATGCTGGCCACCAGCCACGTACATTGCCAGCCAAGCACATCTGCACCCCAACTCATCACCATGCAATTCGCTTATATTCCCCTTCTTTCTACTGCTTATTTGACYCTGTAACACAGACTCACGCATAGCGCACAAAAATATTACGACTGAAAAATGTGGATATAACCTATAAAGCAGCTGTCTCATCAACTCTTTTTCAGCAAATCTTTCTGCGGGTCACTAACTCTGTTCTTCTTCCTCCCCAGGTGCACATGTTATATCCTGAAGAGAGAAGCAAAACTAAAACTCACAGCTGACAAGAACATTCACATAATCTTGCATCCCTGCCTTGAGCAGCATTAAAAAAAAAAAAGTTGTTTTTTCTTCCTGCCATCCTTTTCTTTCCATGCCCTTACAAAAGGAGGACTATTATCTTCTTTCATACACAAAATAGTCCTTCTCTTTCAAAGGAAGGATTATGAAACTCAGGTATAATAGCAATAACTTGCTCAAGGAAATCCACTGCCAACTAACAGCCTTTARTAGATGAATTTACATAGGACACAGGAAGGACTCTCAGATTGACTCTTATAAAAGATGAGCCACATCCTGTGCCCTCAGTGAGTCCAAATCCTACAGAAAAGTTACACATCAATACATAATGCCAAGGTTGCAGAGACAACCTAAAACCCACGTTTCTAAACATCTAACTGTATTTTAGTGTTCTTCTCAGTATTAAAGACAGTTAATGCAATTTTCATTGTCAAAAATACCAAAAAAAAGGTTCTCCTCATAGTAYGCCACTGATGCAGCTATTTGTAAACTGCACACACAGATCCACAAGAGATAGAAACATTGCTTTTACCTACAGAAGCAAAAATAAGAAGTGGCAAATGACATTCTGCAGCAGATTTCTGATGTTTCATTGATAGCAGAACAATTTAACTAGTAATATCTATACCTTTATTCAAGGAACTGGGAAGAAATGTGTAGCTGCACACATGAATTTGTTCTTCACAGCCTACTTTGATCCAATTTTACATTATGTGAGCATGTTTTCTGGTCCAAATGCTGTGCATTTCACCTTCCTAACTCCAGCGTCCATCACGAGCTTCTCCCCACTCAGCTTCAGTCTCTTTTCTCAATCAGTCTTTCCTAATTTTCCTTGCAGGACCTTGCTCATTTACCTCACCCCAACCTCAGCCTTCATCACCTTGCCCTAGACTTGACTCCCAGCTCTCCCACTCCAATCTCAGCGCTATCATCCATTTTCCCCAGTTTTGGCAGGGCRGGATGTTCCAGTTCTTCTCACCTTCTCATAGACAACCTCCTTTCCCTGACCTGACCCCAGTCCTGCTCTCCACCCAGTTCCTGGCTCTATTCTCAGACCTTTACTACAGGGCAATTTCACTAGGCTCACCCCAYAAGTCTTTCTACCCTTAAGGAGCCCTGTGCTCCAATTAACATAGTTGCAGTTTGTGTTTTCATTAAATACTGATCATTTCCATGCTGCTTCAGCCCAAGTGAAAGAAAAGGAAAGAGAGAAATGAAGCTGTGAGCAACCCCACTCAACRTACTGGCCTAGATTTGGCCAAAACAGTCCCTGCAGGAATACATTCCAGCTGGACAATGATAAATGCAGAGTTAAGACTTCAGGAAGTTTTCTAACATCCAGAAAATGCCCAATGGGTCTACCCAAATCCTTTTGCATAGGTCTGTCAACTGACAGAATCTGGGTAAGTTTTCCACACAGAGAACAGAAGGTACAGACTTGATATAACCACCACACCATCAGATTTAAACCCCATCCAAGCCATAAAGCATTAGTATCATTTAAAGCAAAGGTCACCAAGATTCTTCTCTTTCTTTCCTCCCCCTCCTCACTCCACCTCTCTTTCCAAAAATATGAATGACACGGAAAATTGCATTTCAAGTGGCTGATCTCTGTCAACAGGGACTTCCTTTAGCAGTTGACAGACAACCAAAATGAACAGCATTACCTGCTTTGCTTATGCAAACAAGACCTTAAATTATAAAATCCAAAGGAAAAAAAAAGTGATCAAAAATTGTGCTTTAAAATCKTAATTTAATGTCTGCAGCAGTTTTTAAACAATAATGAACTCCTCTTTACAAGCAAGTTACTTCTGCAAACAATTACTGTGCATAGTAAACAACATCTTGACTGTAAACTCATGAGCATTGGTACAGTATTAAAAAACACGCCGAAATCCAAAAGCATTTGGGCTAGATGCACATTGTATTGCACTTTGAGGGGGGGGGAAAAACAAAAAAGTTGGGAAAAAATGGGTCACTGTACTTCAAAAAAATAAAAAACAAGAATGATAAAAAACTTCATGCTGAAAGGACTGAATTACACAATTTCCGTGATATCTGAATTTGTGACTGTACTCCAGCCTCAATATACACTGTGAGAGGAGAGCTTAAGGGTTTTCTCTTTAAATGATGCATCACTCAGTAATGAATATTTCCATAGCTTTGAGTCTACCAACTCTGTAGAATCAGGAAGATCCAGCTTTCTTGATAACATGCAACAAGAAAGGGAACGCACCTAATTATTTCCCACCTTCTGCAGAGTTATTTTTCAATACATAATACAGCCACAATGGAGATGAAAGAGGAGATCATAAGGAAATCTTGTATCTCCCTGTGAGCTTAGATATAAGGGAGTTGTTGTCGGGAGTCTGTGGGAACTGGTTGCTCTGCACTCTCTTGCACTCACCAGAAACTGGTTCATTAAACTTTTGAGTACAGGAAGAGACCATCATCTTTCCAGGTTTTAAGAAGAATAACAGCTTGAGGGAATTATTAGAGCACTGTGTGTGTTAATTCAAAAAATAATCATTTAAGTTGTAAAGCCTTTTTTGGTTTACAGCCTTTCAATGTAAATTGTGTGTCACACTACCTATGCAATAAGTTCTACTTCATGGAATTTCCCTGTGCCAACATCTACAGAGTATCAACACAAGAAAAAAAAAAATCATCAACATCACTGAATGACACTACAGACCACGTTTCTGAATTCTGATATTTTTGCATGGTAGCTAACAGATTTATCAGTTCACACACTGTTTTAAAACATATGTGTATTTCAAAAAAAATGTGTATTTCAAAAAAATGTGTACTTCAAAATACTTCAGAATCTCTTTTCTGTACATTTAGAAAGAGTATCAAAATTAAGTAAAAGCCTAAGAAGAAATCTGGATGCACATAAGAGGTAATAAATAGCAATGCCCACAAAAACAGCTGAAGTAAGTGCTAGTAACAGGCTAATTTTAAAGCAACAATATTGTTTCATTTCCCTTTGAAGATTAYAGTGAGCACAGTCAGTTTATTCCACAAGGTAACACATAAGAGAACTGCACTTTTCCTGCCTCTTAAACACTTTCCTGCTGTAATGACAGTCAGAAACAAGGAAGCACTACAGAAATCACTGCTATTACCTGCATCATGGGATACTTTGTTTCAGCGGGACTTCCAAATCCATTAACGCCAATGAAGCTGGTGCTAAAGTAGGAATCTGTGAGACTAGCATCAGCTAACCCACCGCCATCTATTCCGGGAACTAAAAAAGAAAAAAAAAGGATAAATATTTCAGAAAAATGTTATTTTACCATGTGCCTAGTTGATAAGATCTTTCAAGCTTTCATTTTTATTTAGGTGGGATGAGGGGAAAGGGAGAGAAGGCTGGTAATATTTTTTGAACTTATCTTCTCAGCAAAACAACTACAAACGTTAGTGCACTGAATGAAAAAAGAAGCGTTATGGAAGAGGTGTCTCAATATGCATGTGCAGCATGACGTTATAGCAGTAATGCAGAAGAGTCAGAGGAATTAAGAGTTGTGGAGGAAACGAGTCTGAGCTTTAGAGACAACAGCAGCAACAAATAATGATAACAGCAAAAACATTCAACTGAAAAAAGAAGACAAGTTTAACTTAAAAAAATATATTCTTGCATACGGAGTTTAGAAATATTTGTCAAGTGCAGCTTTATGGGCATACATACTCTTTTAGAGGTAATAGAGAGCAAGCGTACGTTAAAAATCATCTTAAGTCCTCTCACACACCAAGGACAAGCATTTTACAAACTTCCTTAAAAGCCTAACACTATTGTCATTACTCCATATTTCATTAAGTAGCAACAATTTTATGAAAAGCAGCAACAATTTTATGAAAAGCAGCCAAAAAAAATTGTTTGGGACTGAAAGCAAGTAGAAAAGCTGCAGTTTCAAAGAACCCAATTTCTTCAGTTAGTTTCCAGAAGTACAGGGCTCCCTACACGTGCACAGAACTGCAGGTGCAGATAAATGAACTACTACGAGACTATAAATAACAAAACGCAGCCGTAATTCACAGGGAGCACTCGAGCACGTACAAGTGACGTAGCAGACAAGAACCACTTACAACCCCGGAGAGGCTGCGAGCCGCCCTCCGCGCCTGCAGAAACTCCCACAGCGCGCGAGGAAGCGGCCGCTCAGCACGGCCAGGCCAGTGCAAGCCAAAAGGCATGAGTAATGGGTGGCTCCGAGGTGGGAAGGCAAAATTCCAACTCGGAGGAACATCCTGTACCAAATCACCCAGCTCCAGCTTCTGCGTGGACCTCMAGGCAGCCAGTGTCACCGGGAAACAACTTCCCGTCCCTCGTTCTCTGAGGAAATTAAATGAAACTTTGTACCAGAGCTGAAGGAATGCAGCTTATAAACCCTAAGGGGGCCCGAGAATGATTTTTCACCCCAAAGAGGACTACGTATGACTTGMTAAGCCATTTCCATGCGGGGCAAAGGAAAAAGCAAGAAACGAAACMCAGATTAAGTCACAGGAAAGACTGGCACTAGCTGCACCCACGCTGCAGACAGATGTGAACTGCTACCCCGCTGTGCTCACAGGGCCTCTCGCCAGCACAAGTCCACTTGGGTCAACAGCAGCAGCAGCTGGAATGAAGAGCTGTGTGTGCAGGGAGATCAAGTCAACACCAGGACTGAGGATGCAAAACAGATCAGCTCTGCAGTCCTATAACTCACTCTTCAATAAAGCAATGCTGCTAAACCTGGAGTGTTTATTTATGTGCTTTGCAGGTTCAAGGGATTCACCTGAGGCATTTTMAAGATGCTAATTAATAATGAAGGGAAGTATGAAATTTTTTCAACAACCAGTTTTAAAAAGCAAAGTTCCAGAACTGGGAGAACAGGAAAGTGAAGCCGTCCCCCACCACACACGTGCCCAAGATCCTCCTCCATAACTTCAAAGCGGCAGCCACGCAGAAACTTCAAAAGATCTCCTGCTATGGCCCCACGGAGCACAAAGCTGCCATTCAGCTAAAATATCCATCTCTCTCTTCCACCTTCATTTGGGCAATTTGCATTCAAATAACTATAAAGTATTTCCATTGACCTGTTGCATCAGGGAAGATGCTGCTGCCTGCAGTAGTGTCACCTACTATGGTCTCTGCCTACCTGCTSTAGCGAGTCCCTAACTCATAGCGTTAAGGTGAGGGTTTTAATACAATCTTTTTCGAGCATCAAGAAAAATACTATGACTTGTTCAGACAAGTAAGCCTAAAAGGTATCAAATCCGTGTTTAATGATGAGCAGCTTCAGTCTAGCCTGCCCACAAATTATTTAGGGCTCACACTGAGATTTTTATTTATTTTTAAAATATACTTCSAGGATAACTATCACCGCCTGAATTGTCTCAGGCAGTTCTGAAGCCATCAAAAACAGCTGCAGTTTTGTACTACAATTTGATTGGAAAGGAACATGGAAAAAATGCTTCCTTTACAGGAGCTGCTGCCATTTCAAGGTGCACAACRTAAATCCAACAGTATTTTGGGTACTTCTTATAGTAGTGATTTCAAACATCAGACTATATCCTGCCTTTGCGATGTATGGAAAGTGGATGTCTCAAACTGTACCAAACTCTTCAGCCCCTATTGAGGTATTAACAAATAACCAATTCTTTCAGCTTCTTACTCTGTTCTTCGTTACCCTAGAAGTCTGTGAGAGCTTCTATTTCTCTACTGGATGGGCACAACAAACACATGAAGTTAGCAGAACTGGAAAGCCTGACTGATATTAGCTATTTTGCAACAACGTGCAAGGCAGGTGGGGAGCTCTGCATGGACCCTGGTTAAGAAGCCCCCCAGCTGACTCCACTAATTTGAGATCGCTRGCAAAGCTGCTGTCACTTGTCACCAAGCAAGTCACCATGGCCAAGGCAGGCAGCCCCGCGAGGGCAGAAAGCAGCCAGCAGCACCAGGATGGTTCCTTTTCCATGGACGTGTTCTCCTCCAGGCCACACAGCGCCCACAGCAGCTCAGGCAGCACCCAACACCCTGCAGCAACCCCACGGCAGAGCGATGCCACAAAAACCACCGCAAAGCGAGACGTTATCTTGCCCTGTGCCCAAGCCCTGCCGCTACACAGGGCAGTGAAGACCACACACCAAAACTGCCCAGAATTACAGTTTGGGCTTTCTAATCAATGCCCTCAAGACAGCAAGAGCTACCCCAGGACATCTGCTTTCATCTGTCTGTATGAAAATTGTGTCCATAGGGAAGTCCAACAGTTTGGCCATACTAAGCAGCCTCCTTGAGAGCTTATCACAAAATGCTCTCCTTAACCTCAGGTGCTGATGCACCCCTTGTACCACTGGAGTTCCCCCAAAGCTCCATTCGTTACATTAACCACATTAATATCAAGCTGTCTTTCAGCTACCAGGCCTTCCACAGCCCTGTTCCAAGCTACCTACAGAAACACCTTCAGAGAAGGCAGCAAGACCACAAGACACACTGCACAAGAACAACTGAAAAAAAAAGAAAAAAACAGCCTCAAAAGAGGCTTTTGCTGGAGTGCAGGCTAGTTTAGGGGGCAGTAGCCAAAAAGCTAAAACAGAATTCAGAATCTAGTCTGAAGGATAGGAGTGCAAGGAGAACTACCACCCTCAGAAAAAGACTCAGGACAAGCTTCCTTATACCGACCTTCAGCAGCAGTAAGTAAGAAACYTAAGACGAACAGAGAAAAGATGTTGCTTAAATAGATTAAAAAAATAAAAAGAAAAAAAATTCCAACACTGCCAAAAGATTTTTAAAAATAAAAATGAAAAATAAAGAGCCAACTCAGTAATCCAAGTCTGTAGAAAGGGACATTCACTTGCTGCAGCAATGAAAACTCACTAATACATAAGCAGCCAAGACAGCTTTATTTCTCCRTGAGAAGTAGGTTTTCATCCTCCTGTCACCATGTATTTGGGTAATCATAAATTTCCACTTGTCCCTGGCAGACCACTGTTGTTAAAAGCACACAGCAAAAGTTGTTTTATCATAAGCAGCCCCTAGGAGAGTCTCCAAGCAGCAGCAGCAGCAGCAGGTAGGCTGTACCACACCAGTAGCAGGTAGAGTTTGCTGGGTTGTTTTTTTTCTTCTTGCAGAAGTCCAAGCTAGAAAGATACAGAACACTTAATATCCTTGCAAGATTCTTTTATTTGACTGTCTTTACTAACCTACACCAGACTCAGCATTGATTTAACCTGCCTGGAAAGTGAACGTGTCCTTTCCAAGGCTCCGCGCATGGTGCTACTGGAACGACAAAGCCAAGCCTTGRCTTCGGGGGGTTTGTTTGCCTTTTCTTTTTAAGCATCAATTATAACTTTAGGAAACTCTTGAACTGGCTTCTCCTGTCAAATAAATATCCCTTTCTGCTTTATAGCAAAAATATCCCTATCTTGAAGTCGGACAAGATTGTCACAGAAGGTTTGACTAGCAGGTCTGAGAAGAAAAGACGGATGTGTCAGGAAATAGGAAGAGCTTGGTCTCACTGTCTAGGAGATACCACCAAATTATGAAAATAATGAACAAACTAAGAACACTATTTAAAAACTGCTAACACATTAAGCAGGCACATATGTGTTCACGAGACAAAACTTGCAGAGTCCTTCAATATTAAGCATAGCCAGCAAATGCACTTCAGCAATTCTGGAAATAAATTAAAACACATCTTGAGAAATTCAGAAGACATTTTCAATATTTTATACACGCATTATCTCTTTTTTTTTTTTTTTTTTTGCGCTTGGTGAGCAACACTGCAGATTAATATGACAACTGCAATTAAAAATAAATATCTTATGTAATTCTTCTCCCACAGAATGTGAGCAGAAAGTCAGCTTCCATTTGGATGCAGGCACCAAAGAGAAAGGCAGATGGTTATTTTTGCCCTATTTATTTCAAAGGCTTCCTTCAGGAACAAAGGATCTCACCATGGCCGAGGTGCTTCAGTGATGCTGTGATGAGCTCAACACAAATGYCTCAGCACAATCAATGGGTTTCAGTTGGTTTTACTTTCTCACGTTTGCCATATCTAATATTAATACTCTCTGGAAAGAGGTCATTCCTGATGCTTACTGTTTTAAGTAAAGGGAAGCAGTGCAGTCTCCTATGCTGCTTCTTTTATGAACTGGGCATCAGCACTGATGGCCTCAGAAACTGTTCTCGATATGAAAAAGGCCTTTGCAGTGATGTGATACAYTGCCCCAAAGCAAAAGGGCTAAAGCAAGATGACATTTTAAGGGGGCATCAGCACTTCCACGCTCACTTCTCTTCAAAAAGAATTCAAATATTTCTGGCAAGGTAATAATATATAGCAAAGCAAATGGTTTCAAATCTATTATCATTGTTCTTTAAATAATAATAATAAAAACTGTATTTACCCTTAGAAAAAGGAAGGGGGTTATATATGGASGCAATCTTAGCACAGCCACAACACAGGCATTTTTCACATCAGTAGAGCTCAGTAAACTGAATCATATGCTCAGGCACACACGWGCATATATACGAGAAGGTGAAATCTCAGCTAGACATAAAGCAGTAAAGCCAAGGGAGATAAGGGACTGCTGGAATTTTACACGCTGACAGTGATCCTAATATTAAGACAAAAAAAAAATAAATTTTTAGAGGCTGTCTGTGGCAAGTCATTTAAGCCTTAAAACTGCTTTCAGTCCCATACAAGCCACGTGGTGCCAGAGGTGCTTGTGTTTATCCTAGGCGTTTTGCAGAGACATATTCGTGCCGGGGAGCTGCACGCTCGAGCTCGTGGCCTCACTCCACACCACAGCAGAGCGGCGCTTACAAGAGCGGGCACCACAGAGCTGCTCTCCTTACCCTGCCACTACCTCTGCCAGAGAAAAGCGGCCTCTGCGGCACTATTTTACGCCTCTCATTTAACGCAACATTTTTTCAAACTGGGTTAGGAAGCACTGAAAGAGAGGGAAGGGACAGAGAAAGTGCACGGGGCTCCCGCAGACGCCAGCGCCGGGCGGCCGCGCATGGAAGCGCCCTCGGAGGCAGCGCAAACGCGCCCGGCTGGCAGGGAGCGAGCAAAACAGTTTGGGAAACGCTGCCTTATTTACAAACGCTCCCACTAAGTGGCGAGATACTCACAGGCAAACAGAGGAAAACAGCAATCTTCGCGGCACTATTAAATGACTGGGCAGCTGTTTTCTCTCCAGCCCTCTAAAACACATCACAAAAGCATCTGATAGAGACTGCAAACTCCCTATACCACAAGGAAACCATTCCCTTGAGTATAAATTTGCTAAGATAGGAACCATCCTTCTGCTCTGTAAAAATCTCTTTGTAGAGCATCTAGAGCACCAGGACTCCCAGACGTGGACTGTGTCCAAAAGCACTGTGATAATACAAATTAAATAGGATGCTTCCTAAAAAGGGTTATCAGAAGTGCTCCGCTGTTATCAGACACAGTAAAGCAAGCTAAAGCAGTCTGCCTGATGCGACAACTTTTGGCAAAGGCCTGTTCTATAAATTAGCAGTTCTGGGATATATGGCATCAAATTTATTACCAAATGAAAACATTCGTGTTTAAGCTTTAATGAATCTTCAGCCTATACCTAAGAATTCAATTTTTATGAGAGACTCGGGTGCATGAGACATGTGTGGAGCATGGACAGGGTGCCAGGAGGCAGAGAGGAAGGATCCCCTTGCCAGTCTCACAGCTACCACAGCCTTCCAGAGAGGGAATCCACCCATTCCTGCCTACAGGAATTTACTACTCGCAGCCAACCTGACTGCAGCCTGTGCCATTCACATCTCCTCTCACTTTGCATCCAGGCACTGATTTCTAAATCTCGGTTCTCAAAGGAGGAAAGAAAAACAAAACAAACAAACGAGAAAAAAAATGCTGAGAGGAAGCAGATTAAAAAAATACAAATAAGCATCAAGCACAAGACATCTTTGATGACCAATGGGACAGAATAATCACATCATGAGACTTGGTTAGCCGTGGAAGAGCTGCTCACTCTCTCGTGCTCCCTCGCATGCACACGCACCGTGACGAGCTGCGTCCCACCTCCAACGGGCCCTTCCGAGCGCCTTTGCTGCCCGTGTCCTGCGTGACAGCTCTGCTAYAAAAGCAAGAGCCGTGGAAAACCCCGGCCCCGTGAGCTCGCTGCAAACCCCTCCGCTGAGCCCCTTCTCCTGAGCTGCCTCCAGAGCGAAGCCTGGGCGGGAAGCAGCTCCCTGGGGAGCCGCGTCGCGGGGCGCTGCGCCCCAGCCGCACTTACCATTCGTCCACTTCTCCCGCAGCAGTCTAAACTTGCTTCTAGGCGCCTCCTTACACATGGAGCTCTTTCTGAGCGGGTCCCCCAGGTCACTATTTTCTGTGCATTCAAATCCTTCCTGAAGGCCCATTCCTACCGTGATACCTACAAAAAATCAGTTATCTAATAACTGCTAGGTACAAACTAAATGGGGATACTGTGTAGCTTTAACAGAAACAAAAGCAAAAGGCATGTTATGATAGAGCAAATATTATCTTCCAGTTTGCTTACACAGTGCCTGTAACTATCCCCCTCCCTCCTTTTCACCTGTGTCTTTGAAATGTGAAAAATACGTATATATTTATTATATATGTGTGTGTGTGTGTGTATATATATCTCACAACAGCAACAGTAGCTTCTTTATGTTTTTTAAAGCATCAGACACTACCAGAAACAAAACAGCATTCCCAAGGTATCTGTAATTCCTGAGAAATATTTAGACTTTGAATGATTTTTTCCACACAATCTTAAAAAAAGATGAAAATCAATTTCAAACTCAGTTAATGATATATTCTATTTCTGATAAAAGTTTCAAATGCTAAGACCGCACTTCAAAACAGTACAGAAACATGTAACTTGGCAATTTTGTAGATTTTTTTCTTTCCTCTTCTTTTCTTAAAACAAATGTCCCCTTTTCATCTCTACTCCAGTTCTACATAAAGTACAAAAAGGAAAAAAAAATCCACATCTATCATTTAATAAATTCTACAGTTGACATGAGATTAAGAAGTGATTAAGTGACTCTGATAATTTTCATTTCTGGCCATACTAATTGTTTTTAGTTCTCACTGACACGTTATTGTTCTTCATCTTCAATTGCCTCCAGATGTCCCTTTAATTTCCTGAATTGCCTCAATTTCTTGAAAAACATTCAAAGCCAAAAATAGACAAATCTCACATTACCTAGCATGTCCCAGAAAAATATAGACAAAATAGAGGGGGAAACACCTTGCTAATTAATATAGGTTGCTTGCTAACCTCAAGCATCAGACAGTTAATATAGTAACACATGTAAAATGTACAAAGGGGTCTGAAAAACCTGAATTCTCAACCCTATGGATTACCTGCACGACCTATTTTCTATACTTTTGCACAGAAGAAACAAAGTCAGGGGAAAACTGACCGCTATGTGACATACCACAAAACATACCTCAAGTACCACAAAACATACCTCATAAATGTCTATGTTTCATACCTCATAAATGTCTATACCTCAAGCTACACACAGTAAAACACTATCAAAGACTGAATCGACCCATATTTAGAATAATCCTGGCCATTGTTGCGCTGCGTTAAGGACTGTAATCCAAGAGATTGCCTTTAATATCTATTTTGTGGCATAGCCTACCTTGCAAGCCCCACACACCCACTATTTTATTTTGTTTAGAAACAACTGGGCTGGTAGTGACTTAAATACATTTAAAATATACATATTGAAGTATTTTTCAAAATTCAAGGTCTCTCTGCCCCACCTCGAGCCTGTTTATGGGTCTCYCCAAACCCTGGGGTCCTTCTCGCTGACCCAACCCGGGGGCTGCAGGGGGGCGGCCCAGGGGCAGCCGCTGCCCCTCCAAGGGATCCGGCTGCAGGAGCTGTTCCCAGGACACTCCCCCAGGCGCTGCTGGGAATAAAGCCAATYGGAATACACATTTCCCGGGAAAAGCCCGAGGAAAGCCTCTCGGAAAGCAGGGAAGGCGACGGGAAGGGGTGACAAGGCCGGGGCGATGGCGGCTCCGGCGGCAGCACCGCGCGCCTGGTCAGCTCCCAGAGCCGCCGCTCCGATCGGCTCCGCTCCATGCGCGGGATGGAAGCGGGTTCCAGGAGCACGGGGCTTGCGGCAAAGGGAGCGCTGGGAAGCAGCAGGCCCTCACGGAGATGCCGCAGCCGGGATCCACCAACGCGGAACGCAGCTTTTTGTCAAGGGGAAGAGGACGTTCACTCCTCATAAATACAACCTGCAGCAGCCTGGGCAGCTCGCGTCAGGCCAACTTACGCCGAGACACGATTCATCTTAGTGACACAAGGACGTTTTTCCTTGAACACTCTCCCTCGTCCAGCACCGAGGATGGACGGTGCTCGAGGCACGAGCCAGGGCCTGCAGAAAGGCAGGATGCTCCAGCCCAGCAGGCTGGAAGGGGGCACGGGAACCAGCAAAGCAGGGGATTTCCACGCAGCGACTCCCCCCCTTCCCAATCCCCTCCTTACCCAGACAGTTCCTTACATCCCTAGGGCTCAGTGAAATCCTTCCCACTGAAGGCCCTGCAGCAGTAGCTGCCTCACGGGCGCTCCCTCCACCTTCTCCTCAGTCTGACACCTAAGCCAGGCCCTTTAGAACAGCCCTGGGCAGAGCCTGGCAGGGAAAAAGCTGAGGAAATAACAGATTTCTCTCTGCTTCTGCCACCGAGGCCCAACATAACATRGACTTAAGAAAAAAAATGCCTTTAATAACCTCAAGCTGAGTTTTCTTCAAAGACTCTCTGTTCACCTGTGAAGTCCTCATGAAATGTTCACACTTAAAACATCCCACAGCACAGAATTAGATGGCCTTACTGCACGAGTGAGGTTCTCTTGGTTAGCCCCAAGTGTGCTTGATACCACCGCACTTCTTGCATTGGTACCCACGGGAGGCAGCTTTCCACTGTTCATCCTTCCTTATCGCTACCACCTGTGCTTGGAAATAAGTCAGTATTTGGGGAGCCTTTGTGACTGCCGCAGAAAAACCTGCAAGTTAATTAATACTCCTGCGCTCAAAGCAGGATTAGAGCAACATGCACGTTAGCATGAGGCTCTGACCCACTTTTAATAATAAACAGGACTGCAGTTAATTACCCGGTGAGCATTATCTGCTCCATGCACTGAATGGGGCTGGGGTCCTGCAAAGGAGGAAGGAGAGAAGCAGGAATAAATACCCACGTCATCAGGGATCACCACAACACTGACAAACCTGCAGAAAGGGTCAGCAGGGCCGCACGGGCAGTCGGCCTTTCAGCACGCTCTTGTTTTGGGTTCCTAACCTCTGAAACTTTACTCTTTAAATAAAACTTTATGCATTATTCCCAACCTCCACAAAACCAGAACTTTCAGCCCATCCRCTTGGGAATCATACTGATAACTCCGGGTCTCATCAGCTGCACAATATTAGGCATTAACTTGCCAGTGTCTACACTGATAGACTCTAGACTTTGTACAAAATCTTTTTATTCCACAAACTTTGACTGAAGCAAAGAAGCTTAAAAGTGAGGCCAACTCCAAGGTACCACATCTTAACCTCTCTGTCTCTCCTTCCTTTCCCTAACTTCCTTCCATGCAGCTCTCCCTCCTGTAAGATCTTCCCCTACCAGTCCAAACTTTTGCCTCCGTTTGCTTGGCACATGGCGGCTTTTCCAGCAGGGAATCCTCTAAAACACTGCACACAGTTTGTCCATTCTTGGTGCCCTCACCCTCCTCAACACAAGCAAGCGCTGGGCACTCTGCACAGTTTTGAGCTTCTCATGGGCTAACGGGCGGTCGACAGAAGTTTTGCAAACAATTTAACCGCTCGGCAGCGCCAGCTCTGCAAGCACGYGCCAATTCTGCCATTCTTCTTAGATTTGGGATGCAAACAAGTTTCAGAACTCTTTTTAYGGGCTCAAGTTAAAAATAATAATARAAGTCTTCCCATAGAAGCTTTCACCCCCAGCCAAACGACACACATTCTCCCCAAGCCTAAACACTCTGGATTAACAGATTGTATTCGGCTCCTCCTGCCTGGGATGAGGGGAGAGACGCRTCTCGCACCCAGCCCTGTTCCAAAGAGGTGCAAACAAAGACTGAGCCGATTCTTCCCAAGATATTTTCACCTGTTCCAGGACGACAGGTGAGAAAGAATCCAGTGCACTCAAGCAAAGCCTGCCCAAACCACCAAGACCTCGAGAACGGCACCCTCGGTCCCAGCACGGCAGGCCGGCCGGTTTGCGCTCGCGGGAGGGCAGCGGTGCCGGCACCGGGCGCCGCGACGGGCCGCGCTGCCCGCGGGAACGCCGCGATGCCCCGAGMGCACACGCAAGCCCGGGACCTGGCGGAAACACCGAGGAAAGGCAGAATAAAGAAAATAAAAGCTCCCGTCGGCTGCGGGCAAGCGGGACGCGGGCTGCAGCGCGGTCTGGGCGAGAGGAACAAGCAGGGGGAAGGGGAGCCCCGCGGGCGCCCGGCCCGGCGCAGCCCCCGCCGCGCTCCCCGCCGCTTTCGGGAGCCGCT